TTCTCGCCCTGTGGTGGAATTCTCAAAAAAAATTAAATTTTTAAAATCCAAATTAAAATCATTAAAATCCAAAATTTAATTTTTTCAAAAAAAATTTAATTTTTTCAAAAAAATTAAATTTTGGATTTTTTTGAATATCAGAATGTGTTCTATCAGGAAAAAGCACATTTGAAAACCCTAAAATAGTTTTTGTAGTCTGAAATTCGCCCATTCGCCCGTATTACCACACTTTCGAAGTGTCCTGGAGCCGAAACTTTGAAACTTCAAATTTTTTCGCGCCAAAAAATAAATGGAGAAATTCAAAAAAAAAAATCCAAAAACCGTTTAACTGTTTACTTAAAGTTTGCAAAAATAGAAAAAAAGCATGTGACCTGACAAAAAATTTAGAAAAATATATATAATTTTTGATCTCTAAAAGTTTTTTTTTAAAGGTGGGGGGACAGGAGATTTTACGGGGGATTTTTGGGGCCAGAGTATGCATTCTACCGTCACGGTGTACAACGCTTAATGTCACTCTGCGTACATCTGTCATCTTCGCCTTTATGTATGCAATCGGGCGACCACTTTCTCTTTGCCCGCGTGGCTCAGTCGGTAGCGGCGCCGCACCCTCAATCCTCGTCCCACACGTTCAACTCCTCGAGAGGCATATTTAAACGAAATTTCGAGAACATTATGTTTTTCATGTCCCCCACCTTTAACTTCAAAAATTTGAAAAGAGTTATATTTTTCCAATTTTTAAATTTTAAAAAATTCAAAAATCAGAAAAAATTGCAAACCAGGATGTATTTGGGATACTGTCTAGACATATTTTTGCCCCCTAAAAACCGGTTTTTTTTTCAATTTTATACTCCAGAACACACAAATAAAACATCATTTCACCTTATCAGGTGACACTATAAATATGGGAGTGATAAGAGAAAAATAAATCAGAAATTGAAAATTTACCTATTTTTTCTATTTTTTTCAATTCTAAATTTTTCTGTTTTTGAGTTCCAAAGTTTTCACAAAATGTCTTTTTTTCAAAATTTTCAATTTCCAACTTTTTTTTTGAATTGTTTGAATTTTTCAAAATTTCCAGAAATGGAGGCATGCGAAAATTATCAATTTCAATATGAAACCAATAATTTGAATGAAAGAAAGCAGTCGATTGAGAAGGAGGTATGCGTCTTTAAATTCCATTTTTTTGAGTACTGTAGTTTTCCATAAGCTCCGCCCCTTTCGAAGGGTGATTATACTCATTTCGAAGCGGGTTTCCAGCAGATTTTGAATTTTGAAAATGCAATTTGAATTTCAGAACGATTGGAGAAAAATAAGCAAAGTTTGTGTTATGAGGATCCAAAAACTACTGAAAATTGCATGAAAGATTATGGAAGAAAGGGTAAAATTTAGGATTTTTCTGGAATTTTCGAAAAACAAATCAGTTTTTTTCAGAATCCCAGCCCGAGAAATCATCATGGCAAAGTTGGTTTATGCAGAAAAAATAAATTTTGTTCAAATTTTTTTCAATTTTCAATAAAATTCAAAAAAAAATAATTTTATATTATTAAGTGCGTTATTCTACGTCTTCCAGTTTTAAAATCACTTCTCTAGCTCACCTAGGAGCCGAGATACAGCGCTTTGAAGTTTGGAGAGACGGAGGCAGTTAGAGTTTCTCGATTTCTGTGCTCTCCACCTTTCCCCATACTCTCTATCCGCTCAAATTTCAAATGAGTGTATCTCGACTCCCAGGCTAGCTAGAAAGCTGATTTTTTCACAGAAATTTTGATTCAAAAGTTGGAATCTTGTAAAAATGAACAACTTGAGAAGTATAACATTAAAATGAATGAAGCTCCGCCCCTTCAAGCTGGTTTATATTAACTGCAAAACTGCAAAAAAAAACTGAAAATTCTGCCAGAACAGCTGGAATCAGTCTAGACTGATTTGGATCTTTCAAATCGTCCAATGTGTCGCCAAACTTTTAAAAATAGATCAAAATCGAAGATAATATCCATTCGGTGTGTCTCTAATGAACACATTTAGAAATCGAAATTCGTAGTGAAGTATCGATCAAATACATACATCAGACAGAAAAATGAAAAACCAAAAAGCATTGGTCCCTAAAAAGTTGGCTTTCGGAATCATATTCTTCGTGGCCGTTGGAATTAATCTATTCTTGTTTTGTCGGAAACCAAATAAACCATCGTCTGGACAGAAAGGACCATCAAAAATGGAAGAAGGTGCTAGCAAAACGGCATCCATTGAATCCAAACCCAAATCGGTCGTTGGAAGTGCTGAGAAGACTGGCGGGGATTCAAAAATCGAGGGAAAATCGAAAATCGATAGGAAATCCAAAATTGGAAAATCAAAAGTTGCAGGAAAACCAGAGAAATCGATGATGAAGCCTCGAAATGATGGTCGATCTACTTTTATGTATACTGGTTGAAAATGGATTTTCGTTGGAAAATATAAACTACTTGTTCTTAATAAATTTTTATAAATTTTTAATCGTTTTTTTCAATTCGTGCAAAATTTTGAAACATTTCTACATAACCTGAAACCCGGTGAAAAATGTCACAAAATAGCTCAAGAATCACTTCTCTAGCTCATCTAGCAGCCGAGATATGGGCGTTTGAAGTTTAGGAGAGACGCAGGCAGTTAGAGTGCCTCGCTGCCTGCGTTCTCCTCCTTCCCCATACTCTCTAGTCGGCTAAACTTCAAATGACGGTATCTCGACTCCCAGTCCACCTAAAAAGCTGATTTTTTCCCTGCTTTTGTTCAAAAATCTGAAACATTGTAATGATGAAGAACATGAAAAATTTAGATTACAAAGAACAAGACTCCGCCCCTTTAAGACGTGTTCATACTAATTGTAAAACTGAAAAAAAAAACTGAAAATTTTGCCAGAAAATCTGGAATCAATCTAAACAGATGTGGATCTCCAAGTCGTCCAATGTGTCGCCAAACCTCTGAAAATAGATCAAAATCGAAGATAGTATCCATTCGGTGTGTCTCTAATGAACACATTTAGAAATCGAAATTCGTAGTGAGATATCGATCAAGCACATACATCAGGCAGAAAAATGAAAAACCAAAAAACATTGGTCCCTAAAAAGTTATCATTTTAATGGGCTATAATTTCTCAAATTTGTAAGGTAATGATTTGAAAAAAATATTCTTGGATTCAGCTTTTTTAAAGCTTTCAAATAAGTATAAAATCAATTATATTCTACGTTTGAAACGATTATAATATTCGAATTTCTCATGCTATCAACTTGAAATTTGTCATTTAAAATGCAGCGAAAAACGCGCTTCGAAATGAGTATAAGCATGTTTGCTTCTGAAAATCTCTATGCGCCTTTAAACTACTGTAACCTAGTATGTTCCTTTTGAAGATCTTAAAAATCCAGATTCAAAAATCGGAATTCCAGACTGAAAATAACAAAATTCGGATCCCCCCACTGCCAGATAGATCAGTTTCATCTAGCCTGGTTGTTGGTCAAAAATATCTCATTTCTCTTTTTTGTTTAAGATCCGCAAACGAAGATACCAAATTTATCTTAAATTTAAAACCACTATAAATTTTGCATTTTTCGACTTGAAATTCATGTTTTCAGCATCAGCAAGAAAAGAGCTTCAAAAGGAGTATAAACATGAAAAGAGCTTCAAAAGGAGTATAAACATGTTTGTTTTTTCTAAAAATCTTCTATGCGCCTTTAAACTACTGTAACCTATAATCATTTTGAAGCTCTAATTGTAAGCTAGATTGCCGCATGCGCCTTTAAAATATTGTGACCAAGCCATAAGTATATTCATTTTGAAGCTCTTAAAAAGCTGAATTGAATGAGAACTAAATTTCAGATTTAAAAAATCAAGAACATTTTTGAAAATTATTGAAATTCAAATTTCCCAACCGCCAGGAAAGATGAGTTTCACCGAACCCGGTTTCCTCCGGTTTTCTCCGATCTTTGGTTTTTTTTAAAGATCCGTAAGCCAAGATAAAAATTGTGTCATCTTGAAAAACTCATTGGCATATAAAAATCCCCAAAAAAGAATCGACAGATTTTTGTTTCGGCGGATTTCCTATGGCGTCAGCAATCCAAACATATTTCTGGAATAAAAATGCTGGATATCAGAGGATGGATACTGTAGGCACTGGCAGAGACTATAAACAATATTGCTGCATCTTTTTGACAATTTCCGCTTGTTTAGGGATTTATGGATATTTTTATTACGAAAATGAATATACGATTTATGTGGATGGCAAGGTTGTGAATTTCACTGGAGGTTTGATTTTTGCCTTAAATTTTAAGTATTCTTAAAATTTCAATTTTCAGTAGAAGACTTCATTCCACCATTTGTCAGCTATTATCATGAATTTTTGGTGAGTTATTTGGATTTCTTTGGGGGCTGAGATAGGAAATTTGAATTTGCCAGGTTTCAAGCTTCAAAATGAGTATAAACATGGCTAGGGTCCAAGAAAAGGGGCGGAGCCTAATTTTGAAAATTAAGTTTTGAACCTAGAAAGTTTGAATTTGGCTCATTGTGCGCTTCAAGATGAGTATAAAGATGCCTAGGACCCAGAGAAAGGGGCGGAGCCTAATTTTCAAATTTCCAGGTGGCTCCGAAGAGCAAATTGATCTCCTGTGCAATTCCAAAATCCATGTCTCAATTAACCATTAATATTATGTGTCTCCTTTATGATGAGCACAGTTTTTCAGCGGAAAATAATAGCTTAAATGATACCTGGACCACTGAAAGGTGAGAATTTTTGAATTTAGCGTCGGAAGAGCTTCGAAATAGGCTCCGCCCCTTTTAGTTCCATTTGGAAGCCCTTGAAATTTCAGGAAATGCCAGGAAGAATCCCAATTCCGAAACCCAAGTCAACAACTTTTAAATGACCCGGATACGGTGAGATTTGCATTTATAAGAGATCCAATTCAACGATTTGTGTCCCTCTACCTGGATAAGTGCATACAGTAAGCTGTCCCTTTAAATAGGATTACTGTAGTTTTTGCAGCACTGACTTTTGCTTCAACTGCAATAAGGATATGAGATGTTTCGTTCAGAGTATTTATGAAACGTTGAGAAATATTTCTGATTATCGACATGGATTTGAAGGTTTGGATATGATGGCAGAGCATGCTGCACCGTTATCATGGTAGGTGGACATCGGGACAGCTGGAAGCACAGAATTTGAATTTTAGGATGTGCAATTTCGATAAGGATCTTGAAAAATGGCATTTGCTTATGATGGGGTCGGATTTTGAAGAAAGGAAATCTTCCATTTTGCATTTAGCAAACATTTTGAAGCGACAAGGATTCAACGAAACATTGGTGGACAAGATTCAGAAGGATACGATGGGTAGGTTTTGATTTTTTTATCTTTTTTTTCTGAAAATTTGGACTTGACGCGTTTCGAAATGAGTTCAAAACCAGGAAAAACCAGGGTTCATACTCATTTTAAAGCTCTCAACGAGCCAAATTCTAAATTCCAAAAATCAATTATCGATTTTCGTTTTCAGGTGGTGAGACCGCCCATTCCACCCACACATCATCGCATCGCGAAGAAGCTGAACGTCAAATCCGCGACGATCCATACATTCGGGACCTTCTTCATAAAATTTACTTTTTTGATTATGTCATTTTTCCATTTAAGAGAGATGAGTTAGACAAAAAATATCAGACGAACTTCTGGAAAGTTCCAGAAGAATAGGTTTTGAAATTTTGAAGTATATAATAAATTATAAATTTTTTTTTCTTCAAAATGCTTCAAAAACCAGGTTTCTACGATGCCTTTGAGCCGAGTTATAGGCATTTTAAGATTCGAACAGACGCAGACAGTCCGAAGCTAGTGTGTTCGTTGGTCGAGGGAGAGGTGATTCATATGGCAAAAGATATGGAGGATATTGTTGATGAGCAATATGACTGTGATCTGATTGCTCAGGAAGTCGTTGATGAGATGAAGGAGAATGAGAAGTTGGATTTCGAGGGTTTTGAGTGAGTTGGCAACTTTGAATTTGTGAAATTTGAATCTATTTTCTGAAAAAAAAGAAGAATATTTTATGCTGAGCAATGAAAAGATCAGCTTTCTAGGATGCCTTTGAGCCGAGTTATAGCCATTTCAAGATTCGAAGAGACGCAGACAGTTCGACACTATCGTTTCTCTGTGTCTCTCCCTTCAAAACTATAAATGACACTAACTTGGCTTAAAATGGTTGTGGGAAATTAGTTTTTGGTGCATTCTAATAAAATAAATTTTTTATATTTTTTATCAAGCAAAAAAACATTTATCAAAATTCAAAAAATCAGCCTAAAATCATCGTTAGACTATTTAACGACCCGATTTTTAACAATTTCAAAAAAAGCCCGATTTTCTGCTGAAAATGTTTCAAAAACCAAGTTTCTACGATGATTTTGAGCCAAGTAACGGCTATTTTAAGATTTGAAGAGACGCAGATAATCGGACACTCTCATTTCTCTGCGTCTCTTCTTTCGAAATCTAAAATGTCCATAACTAGGCTAAATATAGTCGTAGAAAGTTGATTTTTGATGGGTTTTATAGGAAATTTATGTTAATTTTCAGAAGAACTATAAAAATTTTTGCACTTCTATTTGGTGACCCATAAATTTCTTGTTGTTCAGGAAGTTTTTGAAAATTTTTGAAATACATCAGAAAATAAGAAAAATGTCCATCAAAACAGTCCAAAAACCAAGTTTCTGAGATGATTCTGAGCCGAGTTACGGTCATTTTCAATTTTGAAGCGACGCAGGCAGTCATACACTCTCGTCTCTCTGCGTCTCTTCTACCAAAGTTTCAAAATACGATAACTCGGGCCAAAATGATCGTAGAAAGTTGGTTTTTGGTGCATTCTGAGGGAAGTTTTGTCTTTTTTTCAACAATACAAACAAAGAAATTCAAAAAAAATCAAAATTCTAACAAAAATGCTCCAAAAACCAAGTCTCTACGACGCCTATGAGCCGAGTTATAGCTATTTTAAGCTTTAGAGAGACGCAGACAATCCGACACTCTCGTTTCTCTCCGTCTCTTTTTTTTAAACGTCAAATAACCATAACTCAGCTCTAAATAGTCGTAGAAAGCTGATTTTTGGTGTGTTCTGGAGAATGTTTTCTGATAAAACCAGAAAATGTAATTTGGGAGTTTTGTACGGTAGTATACCTCTCAACAAAAAGTTCCGAAACTTCGATGAAAATTTATTATTATTATTTGAAAAACTGTCAAATTAAATGTTAAAATTGTACAGTAGCTCTCAATGAAACCATAGAGATGAGCTATACATGAAAAAAGAAAGTGGCTCTCATAAAATGAGCAATTAATAATTAACACAGACGAGTCATTTTGATTCCTAATTCTCCTTGACAATCTCCTCCATTTTCTCTCCAATTTTAGTCATTTGACGGATCCATGTCGGCTGAGAAACGATTCCAAATCCATGAGTGACATTTGAGAACGCCTCCATTTGATGATTGAATTTACGATTTTCCGATGATTTTGAACTCATTCCAGAGAGTGGTGGGACGACTGATGAGAATACGGTAGATAGAGATGACATACACGTTCTGTAATTTGAGAAAATCAGAAAATGTACAATATTTGGCTCTTTATGACAAGTGTTACATCCATTTTAAGATTCGAGGAGACGCAGACAGTCAGACGCATCAAAAATCAAGTTTTTACGACCATTTTGAGCCAAGTCAGAGCCGTTGGAAGTGTTTAAAAAAAAGAGATGCAGAGAAACGAGAGTTTCTGACTGTCTGCGTCTCTTCAAATTTTGAAATCGCTATATCTCGGCTCATATGCGTCGTAGAGACTTGGTTTTTGATGCATTTTTGTCAGAATTTTGGGCTTTTTGAATTTCTTCGTTGAAAAAAGACAAAACGTCCTTCAGAATGCACCAAAAATCAACTTTCTACAACCATTTTGATCCGAATTATCGTCATTTGAAACTTTGGTAGAAGAGACGCAGAGAAATGAGAGTGTCCGATTATCTGCGTCTCTTCAAATCTTAAAATAGCCGTTACTTGGCTCAAAATCATCGTAGAAACTTGGTTTTTGAAATTTTTTCATCAGAAAATCGGGCGTTTTTTTGAAATTTTTAAAAATCAGGTCGTGAAATAGTCTAACGATGAGTTTAGGCCGATTTTTTGAATTTCGAAAAATGTATTTTTTGCTTGCTACAAAATAGACAAAATTTCTTTTAGAATGCACCAAAAACTAATTTCCCACAACCATTTTAAGCCAAGTTAGTGTCATTTATAGTTTTGAAGGGAGAGACGCAGAGAAACGATAGTGTCGAACTGTCTGCGTCTCTTCGAATCTTGAAATGGCTATAACTCGGCTCAAAGGCATCCTAGAAAGCTGATCTTTTCATTGCTCAGCATAAAATATTCTTCTTTTTTTTCAGAAAATAGATTCAAATTTCACAAATTCAAAGTTGCCAACTCACTCAAAACCCTCGAAATCCAACTTCTCATTCTCCTTCATCTCATCAACGACTTCCTGAGCAATCAGATCACAGTCATATTGCTCATCAACAATATCCTCCATATCTTTTGCCATATGAATCACCTCTCCCTCGACCAACGAACACACTAGCTTCGGTGTCTCCATTTTGCGATGATTCACATTCAGCGATATCCCTTTTTGCTCCAACTCCCTTCGAAGAATCTCACCGCCGGCTCTCGATTTTGCTCTGAAAAATAAAACAAAATTTGTAGAAGAAATACTTATTTTAAACTTCTTACCTTCTCAAATTCAACGCCAAACTGGAACTGTTAAAGTGCTCCTGACCAAACAGACGTCTTCTCATTTCCTCGGTGGTGACCTGGAAATTGGTTTTTTTTCAGATTCTTTTATAAATTCAATGTGAAGTATTGAAAATTTCCATCAAAATGGTCCAGAAATCAATTTTCCATGATAATTTTGAGCCGAGTTATGGCGATTTTAAGAGTCGAAGAGACGCAGACAGTTAGACACTCTCGTTTCTCTGCGTCTCTACTTTCGAAACATTAAATGTTCATAACTCGGTTCAAAGCAGTCTTAGAAAATTCATTTTTAGTGTATTTTTGAGGAAAATTTGTCTGTTTTCTAGCTAATTCAGAAAATTATACATTTTTTGAAGATTTCTGTCATTATAGGGACGGATTTGGATTCTTCGAGTTGCCCGGCAAACAAAATACGCAACATTTTCTTCCAAATGGTCCAAAAACGAAGTTTCTAAGACGATTTTGAGCCGAGTTACGGTCATTTTAAAATCAGACGCAGACAATTAGACACGAAGAGACGTAGAAAGTCAGAAACTCTCGTTTCTCTGCGTCTCTCTTTTCGAAACTTCAAACGACCATAACTTGGCTCAAAGTAGTCGTAAAACGTTCATTTCTGGTGGGTTTTAAAGGTAATTGTTGATATTTTTAGAAGAAAATCAGAAAACAAACATGTTCAAATTTCGAAAAAAAAGAAAATCATCATGACAACTGATTATTTTTAGTTTGCTGGAGAGCCCATAAAATATCATTCTGACTACTAAAAGAATCAAGTTTCTACGTACTAAAAGAATCAAGTTTCTACGTACTAAAAGAATCAAGTTTCTACGTACTAAAAGAATCAAGTTTCTACGTACTAAAAGAATCAAGTTTCTACGACCCATGTGAGCCGAGTTATGGCGATTGAAGAGACGCAGACAGTCAGACACTCTCGCTTCTCTGCGTCTCTTCTTTCAAAACTTTCAACGACGATAACTCGGCTCAAAATACTTGTAGAAAGTTGATTTTTAGTGGGTTTCCAAGGGAAATTTTGATACTTTTGGACAAAATTATACAAATCAAAATCCTTCTTGCTTTTTTTTAGTAACTAAGAAAATTTGATTTACTTCTAAAATGTTCAATTTCCATTGAAAAATACAGAACATTTTCATCAAAATGGTCTAAAAACCAAATTTTTACAACTCATGTGAGCCGAGTTATGGCGATTTTAAGCGTTGAAGAGACGCAGACAGTCAGACACTCTCGCTTCTCTGCGTCTCTTCTTTCAAAACTTTAAACGACGATAACTTGGCTCAACGTAGTCGTAAAACGTTCATTTCTGGTGAATTTTAAAGGTAATCTTTAACATTTTCAGAAGAGAACCAGAAAGTAGATGTTCAAATTTCGAAAAAATAAAATTATCATGTCAACTGATTATTTTTATTTTGCCGGAGAGTCCATAAAATATCATTATGAGTACTAAAAGAATCAAGTTTCTACGATGCCCATGAGCCGAGTTATGACCATTTGAAAGTTCTAGAGACGCAGACATTCAGGCACTCTCGTTTCTCTGCGTCTCTTCTTTCAAAACTTTAAACGACGATAATTCGACTCAAAGTAGTCGTAAAACGTTCATTTTTGATGGGTTTTAAAGGAAATTTTAGATATTTTTCGTGATAAAATTGTCAGCCACTTTTCAAAATATTTCACCACTCACCTTGTACAAAATCGGATCCAAATGGTTCGAGAGTTTTCCAAAAACCTCTTCAAAAACGTCCTTATCTTTGATTGTTTCTGTTTCGAATCCCTTCGGAACTTCTGGAGCGGCAGTTTGATTTTCCGTGTTTTCTGATTCATTTTCTTCAGTTTTCGACTCATTTTTTGCATGTTCCATTGCCAGGAGCTGTATTATGTGTGGAAGCATTTTTTTTGACACCGAAAATTATGAATTTTGAGATCAGGGCAAGGGAAGAGACCAAAAAACAGGAAAAGCGAACTGACAGAAAAACAACTGAGTGTCGGAGAGAAAGACATCGCACGCAACGCGACAGCGACGCGCGCGCAAAAATTTGATCTCCTGGGAAAACAGTGCGTTCTCTTTACACGTCTGGGACCATCCCTCTTCACATTGTCACTCATTGATTTCAGTGGGCGCAATAAAAGGTGAATAATTGCATTTGGGGATACTGTAGATGGTACTGTAGGGGTAATAAATTATTCATTTTTGAAAACAAGAAAAAACAAATACCAGTTTCTAGAATCCAGTAAAAATCACCTTTCTGCGACTGTTTTAATCCGAATTATCCGTCATTTGAAGTTCCGAAACGAGAGACGCAGAGAAACGAGAGTGTCTGACTGTCAGCGTCTCTTAAAATTTTGAAATAGCCATAACTCGGCTCAAAATCATCTTAGGAACTTCGTTTTTGGACTGTATTGATGGAAATTTTTCTTATTTACTGATGTATTTCAAAAAATTCCTACACAACAAAAAAGTTCTGGGTATATAATTTTCTGGATCAAAAATCAACTTTCCACAACTATTTTGAGCCGAGTTATGGAAATTTTAGGTTTCGAAAGAAGAGACGCAGAGAAACGAGAGTTTCTGACTTTCTACGTCTCTTCGTGTCTAATTGTCTGCGTCTGATTTTAAAATAACCGTAACTCGGCTCAAAATGGTCTTAGAAACTTCGTTTTTGGACCATTTGGAAGAGAATGTTGCGTATTTTGTTTTCCGGCCAACTCGAGAAATCCAAATCCGTCCATATGATGACATTACGGCTGTGTTAAAAAATTTTTTCAAATAATGTTTAATTTTCTGAATTAGCTAAAAAACAGACACAATTTTCTCAAAAATACACTAAAAATGAATCTTCTAAGACTGTTTTGAACCGAGTTATCGTAATTTGAAGTTCCGAAACGAGAGATGCAGAGAAACGAGAGTGTCTAACTGCCTGCGTCTCTTCAAAAAAAAAAGTTCTTGATCGTAACTCGGCTCGAAATCATCGTAGAACCTTGGTTTTTGAATCATGTTTATCAGAAGACCATGCGTTTTTTTCGGAAAATGTCACAAAACCATCTCCAGTTTCAGAGAATTCAGCCAATTTTTATTAACAAAAGAAAAACCAAAATAAAATTTTTTTTAAATTTTCAAATTCTAGTTTTCTGGAACTCTCCAGAAATTCGTCTGATATTTTTTGTCTAACTCATCTCTCTTAAATGGAAAAACGACATAATCAAAAAAGTAAATTTTATGAAGAAGGTCCCGAATGTATGGATCCTCGCGGATTTGACGTTCAGCTTCTTGTCGATGCGATGATTTGTGTGTGCCATGAGGGGTCTCCCCAACTGAAAAATCAATAATTGATCTGGAAATTTTGAACTAGGTTCGACAAGAGCTCAAAATGTGGAATTCCCAATTTTCAAAATACCTACTCGACATATCTTTCTTGATCTTGTCCACCAAACTGTCCTTGAATCCTTGCCTCTTCAAAATATTTGCCAAATGTAAAGTCGATGATTTTCTTTCTTCCAAATCCGATCCTATCATTAGCAAATCCCATTTTCCGAGCTCCTTATCAAAGTTGCACATCCTAAAATTCAAATGCTGTGTTTCCAGCTGTCCCGATGTCCTCCTACCATGATAATGGTGCAGCATGCACCGCCATCACATCCACATCTTTAGATCCGTGTCGATAATCGGAAATATTTTTCAAAACTTTATAAGTTTTCCGAACGAAGCATCTCAAATTTTTTTCAGCACATCCGAAACAACCGCCAAAGCTGAAAAATTTGAAAACTACAGTAATCCAAAGTTTAAAGGCACATTTACCTAACACACTTATTCAGGTAGAAGGACACAAATCGTTGAATCGGATCTCTTATAAATGCGAATCTTACTGTATCCGGATCGTTTAAAAGTTGTTGACTTGGTTTTTGAAATTCGGGGTCTTCAAGGCATTTTCTGAAATTTCAAGGGCTTGAAGTTGAAAATGAAAGGGGCGGAGCCTAATTTTTGAAAATTCTTACCTGCTAGTAGTAGCCCAAGTGTCATTAAAACTTAGATTTTCCTGTATAAAACTGTCCTCGTCATAAAGGAGACACATGATACTAGTAGCTAATTGAGACATGGATTTTGGAATTCCACAGCTAATTAATTTGTGCTCCGGAGCCACCTGGAAACTTTAAAGGATCAAAAATGGACACTAGGCATGTTTTGTAGTTATTTTAAAGAAAAAACTTACAAAAAGATTGGGATAATAGCTGACAAAAGGTGGAACGAAATCTTCTACTGAAAATTGAAATTTTCAGAAAATTCAAATTTTCCGACAAAAAGATAACAAACCTCCAGTGAAATTCACAATTTTGCCATTCACAAAAATCGTATATTCATTTTGGAAATTAAAAAATCCATAGATTCCTAAGCAAGCGGAAATTGTCAAAAATATGCAGCAATATTTGGAAATGTTTTTTCCACTCCTTTCCTCTACAGTGTCTACAGTAGCCATTCTCATATATTCAGCATTTTCACTCAACAAAAATATATGAGCCTCTGATGCCATGGAACAGAAATCTTCCAAGACGTTTTTGGCGATTTTTATATGCCAAAGAATTTTTGCAAAATGACACAATTTTTATCTTCGTTTACGGATCTTTTTTAAGATCAAAAAACGGATAAAACCGGGTTTGACGAACTTGATCTTTCGGATGGAGATGCTTGAATTTTATACTTTGGAATTTAGCTGTCTTAGAGCTTTTAAAAATGAATATGCAAGAATTACAGTAGTTTAAAGGTGCACAGTGTCTTTTGGTCAAATTATGTTTTTATTCATTTTGAAGCTCTATTCTTTCTAATTTTGAAAATAATATTTTCAAAGTGATAACTCGTAAAACTCGAAAGTTATGGTCGTTTTGAAGGTACATGAATTTTTTTTCATTTTTGAAGCATTTAGAACGTCTGTAAACAACTCTGAAGCAGAATGTTATACTTTTTTCAAGTTATGAAAGCTTTATAAAGATTTTGAATTTTTAAAATCAGATTTTCAGAGTTAATACGTTGAAAAAAAAAATAAAAACGATTGAATTTGTAATTTTCAAAAAGAAATTCAAAAATTGTTTTATACAGATCTGGTTTGTTATGGTACGGATCTTTCAATCCGCGTAATAGATCAAAATCAGAGATGAACGAACATTCTATTACATATGTAGATTGGATGACTTTCTACGTCTCTTCAGGTACATACGTCAGATCGATCAGACATCAGGCAAAAAAAACAGAAAAATCAGAAAAGAAGGATTTTGATTTGTATAATTTTGTCCAAAAATATTAACGTTCTTCTTTAAAACCCATCAAAAATGAACCTTTTTTGAGCCGAGTTATCGTCGTTTAAAGTTTTGAAAGAAGAGACGCAGAGAAGCAAGAGTGTCTGATTGTCTGCGTTTCTTCGAATGTTAAAATGACTATAACTCGGCTGAAACTCATTGGAGAAACTTGATTTTTTCGAAACTTTACTTTTTTGAAATTTCGAAATTTTTTATTTTTGAGTTTTTCTAAAAAATAATGAACATTTCCTCTAAAAACAACTAAAAACGAACGTTCTACGACCATTTAGAGCCGAGTTATCGTCGTTTGAATTTTTTGACAGAAGAGACGCAGAGAAACGCGGGTGTCTGACTGTCTGCGTCTCTCGTAATTGCCGTATCTCGGCTTATACTTATCGTAAAAACTTGGTTTTCAAAGCATTTCGGGATTTATTGGTTCATTATTAACATAAAAATACAGAATTCAAATTCCTAAACTTCTGGAGTTTTCCAGAAGTTCGTTTTATACTTTTCATCTAACACATCTCTCTTAAATGGAAAAACGACATAATCAAAAAAGTAAATTTTATGAAGAAGGTCCCGAATGTATGGATCCTCGCGGATTTGACGTTCAGCTTCTTGTCGATGCGATGATTTGTGTGTGCCATGGGGAGTCTCTCCAACTGAAAAATCAATAATTGATTTTTCAAAATTTGAATTTGGCTCGTTGAGAGCTTCAAAATGAGTATAAACATGGAAATTCTAATTTTTAGGAAACATACTCGTCATATCCTTCTGAATCTTCTCCACCAATGTTTCGTTGAATCCTTGTCGCTTTAAAATATTTCCTAAATGTAGAATCGACGATTTTCTTTCTTCCAAATCCGATCCCATCATAAGCAAATGCCATTTTTCAAGATCCTTATCGAAATTGCACATCCTAAAATTCAAATTCTGTACCTCCAGCTGTCCCGATGTCCACCTACCATGACAATGGTGCAGCGTGCTCTGCCGTCACATTCCCATCCCAGTCAAATCCATGTCGATGGTCCGAAATATTTTTTAACATTTCATAAGTTTTACGAACGAAGCATCTCAAGTCCGTACTGTTACAGCCGAGACACTGGCCAAGGCTGGAAATTTTGAAAACTACAGTAATCCTAAATAAAGGCAGATCTTACTGGCCACACTTATCCAGGTAGAAGGACACGAATCGTTGAATTGGATCTCTTATAAATGCAAATCTTACTGTGTCCGGATCATTTAAAAGTTGTGGACTTGGATGTTGAAAAGCGTATTCTTCAAGGCATTCTCTAAAATTTCAAGGGCTTCAAAATGAAACAAAAAGGGGCGGAGCCTAAAATTATAATACCAATTTAATAAATTCTTACCTGCTAGTGTTCCAAGCATCATTTAAACTTAGGTTCTGAGCAAGAAAAGTGTCCTCATCATACAGTAGACACATAATACTAGCGGTTAATTGAGACATAGACTTTGCAATTGCACAGGAGATCAATTTGTTCTCCGGAGCCACCTGGAAATTTATTGATTAGGCTCCGCCCCTTTTTTGGACCCTAGTCATGGTTATACTCATTTTGAAGCTTGCAATTAGCTCAAATCAAACTTCATAGTGTCAAAACTCAATTTTCTAATTTTCAACTGTAATCCAAAAGTTTGGGATAATCCGAAAATCGGAAATCCGAAAGTCGGAATTCAGAAATTCAGAAATTCAGAAATTTAGACAATTAGAAATTCAGAAATTCAGAAATTCATTAATTCAGAAATTCAGGAATTCAGAAGTTCAAAAATTCAGAAATTCAGAAATTCAGAAATTCAGAAATTCAGAAATTCAGAAATTCAGAAATTCAGAAATTCAGAAATTCAGGAATTCAGAAATTCAGAAATTCAGAAATTCAGAAATTCAGAAATTCAGAAATTCAGGAATTTAGAAATTCCGAAATTCAGAATTTTTTGAAAAAAATTTCTGATATTTGAAAATTAGGCTCCGCCCCTTTTTTAAGGATCCTTATTATACTCATTTTGAAGCACTAAACCTGTCAAACTCGAATGTTCTAGTAAGCTTAATTTTTTTTAATTGAGCACTTGACAAAGCCTAAGACCGTATTTTCCGAAAACTCACCAAAATGTGGGGATCATAGCTGACGAACGGTGGAATGAAGTCTTCTACTGAAATTCGAAATTTTCAGAAAATTCAAATTTTCCGACAAAAAGATAACAAACCTCCAGTGAAATTCACAATTTTGCCATTCACATAAATCGTATATTCATTTTGGAAATTAAAAAATCCATAAATTCCTAAACAAACGGACATTGTCAAAAATATGCAGCAGTATTTGGAAATGTTGTTTCCACTTCTTTCTTCTACAGTGCCTACAGTATCCATTCTCATATATTCAGCATTTTTGTTAAAGAAATATGGTTGAACCGCCGAAGCCATGAGAAATCCGTTGAAACAGAGAATCTGCCGATTCTTTTTTGGAGATTTTTATATGTCAGAACATTTCTCAGGATGACAAAATTGTTATCTTCGTTTTCGGATCTTCTTAAAATTGAAAAATTTCCGACCGAAAATCTAAGAAAATCAGGTTTCATGAGATTGAGACTGATCTTTCTTTCTGACGGCAATTTTCGCATTTTCTGATTTTTCAAAACAAAAGTTCTTTGTTTTTAATTTTTCTGAAGCTGTTGAAATTTGAATTTTGTGATTTTTAAACCACTTTTCTAAAATTTTTGACTTGCAATTTAGATTTTGAGAGTTGACTTTTTTAGAACTTCAAAATGAATATAGGTTGGTCACAGTAGTTTAAATGCTCATGGAGATTTTTAGTACCAAACATGTTTATACTTATTTTGAAGCTCTTTTCTTGCTGATTCTGAAAATATACATTTTATGTGATAGTTTGAGAAATAGGAAAGCTATGATTGTTGCAAACAGCCTGTTTGGACGGTCTTGAAACTTCCAAACAGAACTTGGCTACAGTAGTTTAAAGGCGCATAAAAATTTTAGAAGAAAGCACTCATTTTGAAGCTCTTTTCTTGCTCAGTTTGAATTTTTAAATTTCAAATTGATAACTCAAAAAATGCAAAAGTTATGGTCTTATTAAAGGCTCATAACGTTTGTTAAGTTTTCTGGAACTACCGTAAAACCTGTAATAGAAGGGCCCTCCAACATCCACCTTTGAGCACATATATCTCGATTCCTATGAAAGATATCAAAAAGTGGTCAACTGATAAATTGTTTATCATAATATCACCAATATTTTATTAGTTAATACATTTTTGATATCTCCTACAGTAACCAAGATAAATAGGCAAAATTGACAGTGTTGTTTTTAGACTTGATTGAAACGGTCGGACCAAAAATGGGAATGACTATTAGAAACCATTGGGCAGTGAAAATGGCACATGGAAACAAAATGGTTGAGAAGTACGATTGGGGACAGGTGGAAAAGGTTGTCTACCTTTGCAAGTTGACCGTCGAAGAAGAGTACAATAAGAAGTCGTTGGAAGTGGTGGAAAAAGTGGCTGCAGAAGTTGGAGAAGTGGTAGTAGTACCATTTCAATTAGGATGCACGATGAAAGAGGTTGGGAGCGTCGAGGAGTGGTGGAAAAGGAACTTGAAGGTGTCGACGAATGTTCAGTGGATCGATGTGAATACGGAAGTCGGAACACAGTTGAAACCGCTCGTCACCACGGCACCAGATGAGTACAAATCAGCACAGGAGCTCATACGGTATCTGGAGCAAGTATTGGTGAAACACCCGGGAGTGGAGTGGGCCAAGGAGAAAATGGAAAGCGGCGAGCCGATGAGGAAGAGGACCAAGGAGGAGGAAAATATGAGTAGAAGAAGATAAAGAATCGTGTATAATTGTATTTGCTAACTTGTTGAGTTATTATTAATGTATAAAAAGAAGGTTATTGTAGGTTATCTTAAGTGAGTTATAAGTAGTAGTGGTATCAAATTGTTTTGTATTGTAATAATAGGAATATCAGTAAATTAATAGTATAAGTAGTCAGCATAGGTGACTAACAGCATA